AAAAGCGATCTTATCTCTCCAGAGGTAAGAGAGAAAATGTGTTTTTATTTTTATAATTTAATCGACCCTTGAAGCCAAACAAGCATGATTTGTGATGCAGGAACACATGTTCAACAGATGTGAAGTTAACTTGATAACTCTCCTCAGATCAGAGACATAGCCATATATCATATAACAGCTCTGAGGACTTGTGTATCTTTGTCATGATTGTTAAGCTGACAAACACACAAAGTTACTGCTGGATTTTCTACTTGCTATAATGTTTTCTCTCCACCTCTACATACATATCCGCAGCAACAGGTTCGGTCCTTTGTTTCACTTGTTCATGCAAACAGCCAACATATCCAAATAAATTAATGTCAAGTTCATTTAGCATAGAAATATTGAAAAGTATCCTCTGTATCCTGGGAGACTTTGTTGTTTTACGTCTAATATACAGTACATCCAGGCTCCTTGTGTAATCCAAAGGCAATAATCCATTTTGCTACTCTTCGCGAGTCTCTTCGACATGATATTCCAACATTCAGAACGTTTAAAAAATGTCTTGTAAGCAAGCGGTTCATGGAGTGGACATCCAAACAGTGAGCGGGGCATTTGGCGTGCATCGAGGAGAATATCAGGATCACAAACGACAAATATTTGTAGAGCGAGGCGTAAGATCCAAAATCAATCGGCTCCGATGTTTTGCACAAATCCCCCAAGCAGCAGGAATTGTTTTAGAAGTGTTATGCGGCTCACACCTATTAGATTCCTTAAAAGCTGCAGGACATGTTTTTTCGGGCGAGTGGAGTTCACTCTGACTCAATCAAAAGTGTCTGTTCCTCTCTTGTCTGTTCAGGAAAGCGAGTGCCTGGACGATTGCCAGTTTGATTCCCTGCAGGTATGGGATAAGCAATAATCTCCACACACTTGATCGCAGCACTTCGTAAGTCTGCAGCTGTAGAGTTTTGCTGCTCAGTCGCTAGGAGCAGAAGGCTGCGCTTAAACTCAGGTATCAGGTTGTTTGCTTTACCTTATTATTTAAAATGAAATGTTGATTGCACAAGGCAACCATCAGTCTTAAGATTGGTTTTCTACAAGACTTGCTTTCAGTATGCTTCTCTGTCTACAGGGAAAAATCACATCACGTAGGCTCGATTTATGGCACAAAGCCGTGGAAATAGAATGCACTGTATCCTCTGCAGTACTGCCAACTCTTTTCCAATTAAATAAACTAGAACAAGCCCCAAAAAGTTGCTTTAAAATGTCAGTTACATTCATTAGCATAAAGCTGAGTAGCTGAGTTGGTTGCAGCTTGGAAGAGACTGCCAAGAGGAAAGGGAGCGACCCCCTGTGGTGTTGGCAGAAGAGCCATGGTCTGTGATTACTATGAGCAGCTTTTGGAGTTAATTACGATATAACATTTTTGAATATATTTCTAGCTCTTTCCCTGATAGTCTGGAGTAGTTGTCCTAGTTGTGGCGCCAACAATAATCGCTAGCAGGGGAAAAGATGTCTATTGCCACTTTGAAAGCACTTGTTCTGCATTACTTCCTGCATTAAGGGAAATAATAAAATAACTGACTCTCCTATTCAAACCTTAACTCTACCTTGACTTTGAACACAAACTAATTTAAAAGGGGGTAATCCCTACAGCTGCACACACCTGCACTTCCTCCTAGCTTCAGCTCTGGATGTAGACTCAGTAAGAATCAGCTGCTCTGGTTTAAGGAGGCTACTTGGAAGCTGAATCCCTGTCAGGCCTCATGCTGAAGGGCTCCAGCCGCTCGCTCTCAGGCAGCATGTTGTTGAGGCGCTCCATCAGTGGCACCGTCTGGTCGATGCCCATCTGGATGCGTCTGAGGATCATTGACATCTCGTTGACTTTCTGGATCTGCTCGGCGTACTTGGCGTAGCGTTTCTGGCGCTCCTGCATTATGCTGAACAAGGTTTCCACTGACAAGTCCATCTGGAGGGAAACAGGGAGGATAGATATAGCCTTTGACTTTTGGCAAGATTTGATAAATTCTCTTAAAATAACTTGTGAAAACGATATCAGCAACACATAAAGCATGAACATTATTCACTGTATTTTTCATATGTACGTGCAATTTGAATGTATCTCTATTTGTACTACTCTAAAGAAATCACTTGATCATTAAGTAATCATACAATGTTGAAATATAGTGGAAAAAGCTTGAAATTGTTTATTTTGTCTTAAACTCAAACACAATATTATAAATTTAAGAATTTCTATTTGATACATTTCTTCATGTCAATTAATTAATGTAATTTAATTTTCTGATGTAAACATCTGACAATAAGTACAATAACATTAATAACATGTGCAATATTACTTTTTTTAAATATCATTGGCCATATTAATACAAATATTGTACACTTTAAAATTATCAGTTTTTTTTATTATTAGATTGTCGAAATTGTAGAGCAATCTATGGTAGAACAAATGACTTATTTTCTTATTAAATTAGGTAAATGGTTTATTTATTTACTAACCATAGACCCTCTACATTCAATTGGGAACACAATAGTTAATTTATTTTTGGGGGGATTTATTAATGAGACATACATGGTTAATATCACATGCTGTTCTTTAGGCAGCGTTACCTCTCTGATCCTCTTGACCAGAGCGTTCTGGTCGAAGGCCACGGCCTCGGCACACTGGTGCAGATGGTCCTGGTAGCGGATGCACAGCTGCATAACCTGAGCGGCGTCCAGCCTCTCCAGACACAAACTGCTGGGAGACGTCTGACCGCTCAGCACTCCTGTAAAAAGCAGAGATGAAACACTCGACAACTGCGTCGCACTTGGCAATTATTCTAATTGCTATGCACAGGATCTGACAGAGTTACATCTCTGCTATTTCAGGAGTACGCCTACACAGGAACCTTGGCTCATTATCCAGCTTCTAACACAGTGCTAATGGGCTGCAGTCTTTACAAGTTTTCAAAAAGGACTGGTGGGAACGTGTGGAAAATCATATGAAACTGAATATCTCCTTATGGAAAATGAAAGGATAGAAGATCTTCAAAATCTACTGATATCTTCCAATAACCATAACTTCATGAAGCAACACTGCAATATTAAAGTAATCTTTGTCAGACATCAACAATAACTCCAAAGAACAGAGAAATCAAAACACTGTGAAATGAAATATTAGTTATTGGAAGTATCAGTGCATTGTGCACATCTGATGTCTGATTCCAGTTTTTGTTTATCTAGCACCCTCAAACTTATATTATGTGTGCTTTTCGCTCTGTTCGCCTTTAACTGAAATTGTACCCCAGTACCCAGACTCAGGTTTAAACGTTATATATATGCATTTCTAGGGCTCACTTAATACCTATAATATCTGATAGAGAATATAGGATTTCTGATGTGGGTGAGCAATTGTTGACTGAAGTGTGTAACCTGAATTTGACCACAATAGATTTAGCAACATATTTGACAGATGCCTCTATAATGCATGTAGGTAGCTGGGAGTTTAAAATGTACCTTTTAAAAGGGGCTGAAAGGTAGGTATCTCCTGAAGCTTAATAACATCTGGGTCGTTGTGGATATTTCGCAGTGATTGAGTCCCCGGAGCCACAATGACGATATCATCCATCTTTGCTTTCTGCTTCGCTGGAGAGGGCACCACTGAAAAGACAAAAGTCCTGTTAATATCATCAGGCATTCATTCTTTTGAGCAGTTAACATTTATATTGGCTTTCTTTGCTTTTTACCAGAAATGAAAGAAGTACTATTTTTTTTACTAACGGAAAATAAGTTGTCACAGTGTCAATCCAAAATGTGAGTGAAGTAAAAATTAAAAAAATGTATCAGCAAAATATGAAAAGGTATCTAAAGTCTCCATTAGGCAGAATGGTTCATTTAAGAGTTAATTTATATATGCAATCTTGGCAAATGATTTAAGCGTAACGTTAGTATAAAAAAAAATCAAAATATTACTTAGAGATTTAGTGAAGCTGATAGTAGTTACATGTTACAAATAAAGAAATACTCAGTGCTTCACTAACTCAACTTCACATGACTTCAATGGCAAGCTCATACATTCAATAATTACTAAATAAGAATTACTTTTAAGTTAGAGAAGTGATCTTACCCGAGGAGCTGTAGTCGGAGTGTTTGTGCTCCGAGTCTACGCTCTGTTCGGCTCCCATGGTGATAACGTCTGGCGAACAAGCTAGCGGTTAGCTTTCGTCAACGTTACAAAAAACACCAGCGAGATAAATAACCCAAAGTACTAGATACAATAACCGTGTACATAGACTTCACACGACCTCAAAAACACACACCGAAGTAACCATGTTCCAGAGTAGCAAAAACAAAAGGCACAGTCCTTGTTAGCTATGCGGTTTGAAGCTAGTTAGCTTCGTTATAGCTAACGTCAGTTGCTCTTACTAGCTAACAGGTTAGCAGACCGTTGAAGCTAAGTGAGAGCTAAGCAGGTTTATATCTTTACGGCGAGGGATAACCGAGTATTTTAAGAGTTTAACACATTTATAATACAGGACAGGACACAACAGCAATGACAGTTCAGGACCAGACATCACTTCCGTAAATATTGGTCACGGGGTCTGCCTCTTTCTGTCCAGACCATAATATTACTGCCCCCTACTGCTGGTGAGGTCAGAAATAATCAAAATAGTAGGAAAACCCTATGGTCAAACCTTACATTTATGCCCTATCTATTGACAGTTGGAGATTAGGTTTTCACCGTTTTTAACATTACTTAAGATAAATTAATAGGTAGACTGGGATATGAATCACCTTAAAAGCTAAGTAACTTACCATGGAAATATAAACAATAGTGATTTTGATTATGATAAATATATATCGCTAGAAAGTATGTTTTTCTTTGTAGGGTTTTAAATATGTTTTAACCTCATAGTGTAATTGTGCTCTTTTGTGGCCAATTCAGACCTCCACATTGTAATACAAACATACAGTCAAGTTAATCTTTAACACTGTAGATAAACAGGACAAAAGCACAACTGGAATACAAAACATTTAAAATGAACACGTATAAAAAACAAAGGCCTAACATGCCAACATTAATCACAGTGGAATAACATGAAACTTTCTGTATATATAAACAACAGCCACAACACTTTTTAAAACATGAACATATTAAAATTTTAACGCTGGTGTTTTTGCAATTCAACCAATTGAATGTTGTAACTCGTAAGAGCAGAAATGCTGCATTTAGATTTGTTATTGACAAAATGTGTAAGATTCTTTTTATATTAACATAGAACAGACTCACTAACAAACATATTTTTAGTAAAAATCAACCTAGTAAAACAGGCTAAAATTGAACATAGAAATCCTCCTTTGATCTATAATATATTTAACTTGAAGGTAACTTGTTTAAACATGAGAAAGCATAATTGTAAGAGACAAAAATGCCAGGGCTTCATTCAGGTTCTTCTACTTTTCTGCCTAATTTCCATCTTCCACCAGACTGTAGGGACGCAGGTCCAGGGTCAGAATGCCGCTGAACATGCATTCATCAAACTGTAGAGAAGAGAATTACTTAGTTTCAGTATTGTCATAACACATAGGAATTTAGGAATTGTAAAATACTATAAAAGTGTCTTACATCTGAGTAGACTCCGTGCAAAGTGTCAGCCTTGGAGAAGAACCCCTCCTTCAGGGAGATGACGATGATCTGCAAGTTCTCTCTGGACTCCTCTCTGATGAAACTCGTCACCTGGGTACAAACAAAACACACACGTGCTCAGTGAAAAGGTCAATTAGCACAGTCTGATATTATATTATATTATATCACACATGTGTTAAACTCAAGGCCCGGGGGCCAAATCAGGCCCTTGGTGGATTTAATTTCGGCCCGCAGGATAATTTCTAATTACTATTAGATCTGGCCCGCCGGTATATTGCACGCACACCTTCACTCAATGCTGAGGGTTTCCTCCGCTCAGAGCCTGAGCCCAAACATTGATGAACCTGCACCCGAGATGAGATGCCAAGTATCTGAACTAGCATCACAGAGCAGCACTGAGTTCAATGGATGTTTCCTTCTGTACTTTCTCTCTCACGACAACAGGGCATGTTTGGTTTGTTCTTTGAGGGAAATAGTTTTTTTGAAGCTGTTGTTGGCCTGTGGAGAAATGTAATCATAAGAAATGACTCTGGAAAAGCTGCAGATAGAGCCATAAGAAATGAATGCAACTGATTATTTAATGTTTAATGTTGTTTTTATGGGCAATAATTTAGCTTTGTTAGTTCCAGGTTTAATATGTGCAATAAGTTCATTTCAATAAGTTCTGCAATAAACATTGAACCAGTCCGGCCCTCGACTAGTAGCCATTTTTTTTATTTTGGCCCACTGTGTATTTGAGTTGGACCCCCCTGTTATATCATATAAAATATACTTGTGTTTATTATTTAACACAAAATGATCTGCAAGCACAATAAGGTTATAAGAAAAGCTGTGTATTTATCACAATTCTCCAAAAGCAGAAGTGATCCCTGAAATGATCATGCATTGTCCATCCCACTCTGAAGCCCAAACATATCCAGTTCAAAATTATATAAAACATACAAAAAGCAGCAAATCCTCACATTAAGGATGTATGTAATTGAAGAATTGGAATTGTTGGTTGATTGATGATAATTGCTGTAACAAAAATGAATGATAAACAATAGATGCAGCTGGTTTCTTACTTTGCCGATGTTTGAATTGTCCAGCGCTGCATCCACCTCGTCCAAGATCAAGAAGGGAGCGGGGCGGAAACTGAGAGACATGAGAGCAGCGAGCCAAACGACGTGGGTCAAATGTTAAAGTCAGGGCCGTTAAAAACTGATGCAACAAGTATAAGATTATGTGGGAAAGTGCTTTAGATAGAAGTATCAGAAGAAGGGGAAAAGGATCAAGTGCAAAAGAGAATAAAAAGGAAGGAGTGATGACGGGTTCAGGGAGAGGATCAACAGACTCTCCAAATTACATAGTTTGACTTTATTAGTCCATCCATCAGCTAAAAAACTCATTACAAGTTAAGTACCCCCAGGCCACTTGCAAAATGGTTGTTTCTGGAATCACTAGTGTCAACAGCTGTGGTAGTATTTATTTGATCTCCTTTTTTAAAGTTTTCCATCTGTCCAGATTAATGAATATCTAGCAAAAACAGATCTTGGTAAATTATTTTAGGGAATAATGGTATGTCAATCTGGTGTTGAAGAATTAAAATTCTGTTTATTTTACGTGTTATCGGTTGCTTTTATGTGCATTTCTTTTAGTATCCACATTCATTTAGATATTTTATTGTTCCTATCCCCCTGGCAAAATATCTTAATGCATTTTATTGTGTTGAAATACGCCATATAAATCCAGGGTATATGCAGGATTCCTGAAGTCAAATGTAAGACCTTTTTTAACTTTCCATACATTTGAAGACCTCATCTCCACTTGGAGTTCTAACCGGTTACCTTGGCGACACACTTCACCTCACATTGACTATATGCAGTATTGATTGTCCTTCCTCCTTATCTTCCAACCATTTGGACGCAAACTTGCATTTCCCCATAACGATGTTGTTTAACAACCGGCGTAAACGGGCCTTCGCGCGCTATCAAGCAGTGAGCGTGAGATGTCCTGTTCAGATGACGTCAAATCCAACGGGATGCCATCAATAAACTACACAGAATCACACTACACACTTACGCCATGATTACATTCAGGCAGACTGTAGAATACAACCTCTTTGGACCATTTATATACTTATTGAAAACAAGCTACAAAATGTCATACCTTGGGAAATGCCGTTTAATACTTTTTAATAGCCTTAATATTCGCTAAATTGATTGATCAACTTTTAATTAATGATGTCAAAATTATCGCGTTAACGGCGGTAATTAATTTTTTGAATTAATTGCGTTAAAGATATTTAACCTATTTAACGCATGTGCAGAATGGCCCGCCCCATACGTGCCACCAGTGGCAGCGCCAGGGTATGGCTGGGGTAGGCTACACCCATACCAAGAAATGGCTTAGCCCCACCATGAGAAATGATGTTAAAGTAAGCAAAATAAAGTCTGCTAACTCGCGCGGAGTAAATTGCAAAGAGAGCAGTTAGTAAGATTGATTTCAGTAGCCACGGTTTTGAAAACTTTTGTCACGTAGTGATCGTCTTCTCAATAGAACATCTTTGATAATGTCTTCTGGTCAATCAGAATCAAGATAACGGCGTGGTGTTGTTGCAGGAAGTCCCGACGGAGAATACTTTTGCTGTAGTACAGGGGTGCACATAACTGGTACGCAGGTTATGTGCGTAATCTCTCTGAAATGCGTATTGTGTCACAAAGCGCATTTGCGTACCGACGTACTTGTGAAGCATTTCCAGAAGGCGGTTAGATCACCGGACGACAGAGTCGGTCTCCGTGTGCACAGACAGGGCTGCTGTTAACGTCGGTCTGTACAACGGAATTGTGCCAAAACTAGCCAACCGGCTGCGGAGGGAGACTTTCTCCCTTCACTGGAGAACTGCGCTAAAACAGCTGATCACAACATTATGTTAAATGGATATATCCGCCTTCTTTCATTTATCTTTCCATTCCCACAACAATATACATAAAGAAATGGCATATTTTGGACATAGTTCGAATGGTGATTAATAGGGCTGCAACAAACGACTAATTTGATAGTCGATTAATGAAACGATTAATCGACTATTCGGACTATTACTGTATGCCTTTCTCAAACGCTCTTATTTAGCCATCAACTTTTAGATTTAGCTTGAGGTTGTTTTAGGCATGTGGAAACTAACAATGAAGACAATAAAGATGAATACTTGATTCAAAAATACATATATTATTAAATTAACAAATTGTGAACAAAACTAACATTGCTTTTTATTTCAATTAAATAAATAATATTTCACATCAAAAGAAACAACAGTGTTTTATCAAATCGTATTAAATAATCTGATGACAGAACTGTAAACAGAATAGCTGAAACTTTAACAAACTAAATAACTCAGTTACCTCTAATCATTAACCCATGTTTGTATCATTGAGTTAACTCCGTGTGTTGCTGCTAGCATACATAACACCTGACGGGGAAACGTTACTCGTGGATGGAGCTACAGAGCTACTAGAAAGACAGTTGAACCCGGTGCATTCCTCCGTCTGGATGCGGTGCACTTTTGATAAATGTTTAGTCAAATTGCTCGTGTCACCGCCCTTACATGCTGAACTCTTATTGCACTTTTGGTAACGAGCATCGAGACGGGTAAAGTTTAACCACACCTCGGAGCGCGTTCTGTGGCATGTGGCAGCTGCGTGTGTGTAAACTGCCCCGCCCCCTCGCACACAGACGGGAGAGAGATCTCGTCTGATCGAAAATACATCATAGACGCATTTGTTTGTCTTTTTGCATATTAGAAACGAGTTGGCGACACTAAGACTGCGATATGTTTTTGTAGCAATAATACATACAGTACCGATAAAAAGACCAATAACGTTGGAGCTTAACGGCGCGTAAAACACACGTGATGACGTCACCAACGAATCGACGACTGAATTAGTTGGCAACTAATTTGGTAATCGATTTTAATCGATTAAGTCGATTAGTTGTTGCACCCCTAGTGATTAATCATGATTCATTAATTTTCGTTTGACAGCCCTACTTTTAATACTTCTTAAGACCCCGCGGACACCCTGAAATCATGAACCTTGTCTAATGTAAAGTCATATAGTGTGTTTTAGGGTTGGGTTATAAGCCCAGTGTTACCTGTGGATAGCGAACACCAGGGCGAGGGCAGCGATGGCCTTCTCTCCACCCGACAGGTTGTCCATGGACATGAAGCGTTTCCCCGGAGCCACGCAGTTGTAGTTGATGCCGCCGAGGTACGGCTCTTCAGGAGTCTCTGCACTCAGAATGGCCTGCAGCACATACAGAGGGATTAAAAGCTTCTTGTTCTTGCTTGTAACATCTTCTGCAATGCCCAATGTTAATGAACATTATGAACCGTGCACACTGTTTATGATTAGATGAATTTTAAGTGCCTTACAAGAAGGAACAACAGTTGGTTGGAAACTTTTATTCTAGCTGTACAACAGTCAACAAATTCAAATGTTGACTTAAATGATATGTATTTTGTCTACAGGTTCCACGTTATTTTATGAGGTTGATTAAAAGCAGTTTAAAGGTCCCGTGTCACGGCCATTTCTACTGATCATATTTCCATTGTTGAGGTCTACTAGAATAGATTTATATTGCTCAATGTTCCAAACTCACATTGGTTTCTCACAGCATCTCTGTATAGTTTGTGTATTCACTCTCTGTCCTAAACGGCCCTGTGAGCCCACTGTGCTCTGATGTGTGTGTATGTGTTACAATGGCGATAGCAACCAGAAAATGACACCAGTAATGACAATAGATAAGGTTGAGGGTGCCGGCGAAACTCCTCAGAATACCGCGGCTGAGAAAAGATACGGCTGAGTGAGTGTGTGTGTGTGAGGAGCTCCACGGATTGGTCCATTTGGGAATGGTCACGTCACCAGGAAGTAAACAATGGAAAAAGAGAAATGTCCAGCGAGGCGTTCTGGGGCAGCACAGAGAGGTCTTCTCTGTGTTAGAGTTTTACTCGCTACAGGGTGCACTTTGAGGGGTTGTGACTGCAGACCGTTTACATGCAGACAAAGCTTCATAACACAAGAGGACGGGTGATAACCAGAAAAGCATGACATGGGACCTTTAACTTATTAAAGCTGCTAATTAAAGTAAATTGTTACTGTTTTGAGTGTATACACTGTAGATGCAATGATCCGTTTGCCACCTATCAGTCTCATATTTTGCACAAGCATGATGATGGTTTTACGTCGCATGTATAGAAACTTGAGAGTGTGTTTCTGTGGTTGAGGTTTTGTTGCTTCACCTGGGCGCTGTTGTTCCTGCAGATTCTTTTATAGATCTGATCGATGACGACAGACACGTGATCGAAGCACTGAGTGAAGTGCTGCAGGCGCTTTGCTTTCACCTGCTCAAACTCCTGACTGCACTTTCTGGCCACTCTGGTGCTGGCTTCAAACACTGAGGGAGGGACAACATGTTAACTTAAAATGTGCACATAGTTATACTATATTTGTATTATATTAAATACACCTAACTAAAGTTTCATTTTGTCACTAAAACTTGATAAATACCGTCGGTCACTCCCTGCAGCTTGTCCTTCACCTCCCTTATCTTCTCCAGAGCTTTGAGGTTGGGGGCGGTGGTGCGCTGCAGAACTCCCTCGATGGAGGACATGGACTCATTCAGCCTCTCAATGTGCGCCTGCACCTCCTTCTCCGCCTCTAGACTCTGCACACACATTCAATGCATGTTATAGATTCATTTCTGATCAACATAGCACAATGCTTTGGGTTCATGGCTCACCCTAAAATCTTCGTCCAGGCCAGAGTAGTCGATGATCAGCTGTGCCTCTCTCTCATACATGCTTGTGGTGTTCATGGTTGAAGTGCTTTCAGTTTCTGTGTCCAGCTGCAAAGGAGAGTGTGTCATCAGGTGATACTGACACTGACAGTTGTATTATTAGGTCCTCAGGGTTTCTCAGCTTTACATTTTCTAAAACAAGTGCAGTTTCTTTTATTAAATTATTTGTTTTTTTCAAATGTGATCATTCAGCTCAATTTAATATCTTTTACTTTTGCCAAAAATGTGCAGGACTCATTTCCAGTCTTTGCTACTAATCAAACCATTCACAAACATTTACAGACATTCAAACACACAATTTGGGGTAAAGTATCTGGCTCAAGGATACATCAAAATGTTTACTGCTAGGGATCGAACCACACCTTTCCTATTGGCAAACGCCAGCACTATCTCGTGAGCCACAGCTGGCCCTAAATGGCGAAAACGACGAGTTAAATCTCTCTGTGTCACACCTGCGCCTCGCTGACCTCGTCGAGGTTCCCTGACAGCAGGACGATGGGCAGACCCTGGATCTTACAGCCGACCAGCATGTTGTGTCGGAACAAACGTTTCTGCTCCAAAGCCGACTCTGCAGACATCACCTCGCGCTGGAACTTCATCAACTCTCTGAAGACAGAGAAACACCACAATAATATATTTTAAATGGTGTTTTGACACATATTTTGGCTTTTAAGTCCTATTTTCCATTAAAGGTCACCTATCATGCTATTTTTAGGCAATAAAATAGGTCTCAGATATATACAAATATATAAAAACATGTCTATGAAGTGTTTTGCTCAAAATACCAAACAGATCACCCATTCTAGCCATGCCTCATATCCCTCTGTTTCACTTCCTGTTTCTAAAGTGCTGATTTGGGGATAAAGCTAGCTACTGTCTAAACCAGGGGTCACCAACCTTTTTTAGGGTGAGGGCTACTTTCAAAAAATAAAACAAGTCGGGGGCTACTTTTACTCCTCTTTCTTTTGTTTTTTGCAGTGTATATATTTAGCACATTTTAACATTATTATATGCTGACCTTTAACCTTTGTGTGGTGTTTGGGTCTGTGGGACCCGTTTTCAGTGTTTAAGAAAAGAACAGGTATGCAATTTAATTATTTTAGCCCCGTTTTTAGAGATTTGGGTACGGAGAAAAAGAGATAGGGTTTTATTTTCTGACGCTGCGTGAGTTCCCCGACGCACCGGGGACACATGTTTATGTATAAAAGACATCACAAAGTGCATTTAGCACGATAGGTCCCCTTTAATGTACAACATGTCAGCACAGTTAGAGGTGTAGGAGGTGGAGTTACTTGTTGATCCCTTGGAGGCTCTGGGTGTTCAGGTCCAGCTCAGCTTTGGCAGCGGCCATCTGGCTCTTCTTGGCCAGCAGCTGGTTCTTCAACTCCAGATCTTTGCTCTGACTCTGCTCCACCGCAACCAGCAGCCTCTCCTCCTCCTGGGGGGGGAGAGGAGTAATTTCACATGCAGAAATATTCCTAAATACATTTGTTTTTAAATCTCATTTGGAGGAAAATATATATTCCATGAGGAGGTGGGTATTCCATAGGGCTGCAACAAACGACTAATTTGATAATCGATTAATGAAACGATTAATCGACTATTCGGACTATTACTGTATGCCTTTCTCAAACGCTCTTATTTAGCCATCAACTTTTAGATTTAGCTTGAGGTTGTTTTAGGCATGTGGAAACTAACAATGAAGACAATAAAGATGAATACTTGATTCAAAAATACATATATTATTAAATTAACAAATTGTGAACAAAACTAACATTGCTTTTTATTTTAAATTAAATAAATAATATTTCACATCAAAAGAAACAACAGTGTTTTAACAAGTCGTATTAAATAATCTGATGACAGAACTGTGAACAGAATAGCTGAAACTTTAACAAACTAAATAACTCAGTTTCCTCTAATCATTAACCCATGTTTGTGTAATTGAGTTAACTCCGTGTGTTGCTGCTAGCATACATAACACCTGACGTGGAAACGTTACTCGTGGATGGAGCTACAGAGCTACTAGAAAGACAGTTGAACCCGGTGCATTCCTCCGTCTGGATGTGGTGCACTTTTGCTAAATGTTTAGATAAATTGCTCGTGTTACCGCCCCTTACATAAACACTATTGGCAACGAGCATTGTCCGCCTCAAGACGGGTAACATTTAACCACACCTTGGAGCGCTTCTCTCCGCCATCCCCGCCATGTGTTGCTGCTTGTAGCAGCCGCGTGTGTGTAAACTGCCCCGCCCCCTCGCACACAGACGGGAGAGAGAGATCTTGTCTGGATTGGAAAGATCGAAAATACATGATAGACGCATTTTTGTTTCTTTTTGCATATTAGAAACGAGTTGGCGACACTAAGACTGCAATATAATGTTTATGTAGCAATAATGCCGTTAAAAACTGTGCAATATATACCAGGCTGCTAAATCCTCAGAACTGTTACAGGATGTGTATTTTGTATAATGTGTAACTTCAATACTTTTTCATGCACGCTTTAGTAACATTAAGCTGTCTTTGGCTCTTTTCTGCTGTAGCAATGTACATTTCCCCTCTGTGGGACGAATAAAGGGATTCTGATTCTACAGGAGGCAGTTTGACGATAGCAACACAGGATGAAAGCCTGAGATGACTACCTTCTTCAGCTCGGCCATGGTTCTCTCCTCCTTGTCGATGGTTTCCTCCATTTTGTGGAGCTTATTCTTCTGCTGCTCCAGTTGTTCTTGTTGGTACTCCAGCTGTGCGTTCAGGCGAGTGCACTGACTTTCAAACTCCAGGCTAAAAGAAGACAATGTAAGGTGTTTAGGTAGTAACACACATGAAGAAAATCATGCATACAAATAATACTTAGACACACAAGATTATTCTGAACAGGAAGATATACATTATGTTATGTACATTATAGCTTAAAGGTAGGGTAGGTAAGAATGGAGAAACCAGCTCGAGTGCGCTAGAATTTGAAAATACACAGCCACAAAAATCTGCCCCTTCCTCACAGAGCCCCTCCTCCAACACACACGAACGCACACATGACCAATGAGGGCACGAGATAAGTGTGTGCACAGATGGAAGGCTGACAGGCAGGTAGGCCATCCAGTTACTTTAGCCGGGCCGGCTCAGATGATTGGTCGTGCTTTTTACAGCGCTACGGCTTCCACTGATGAAATGTTTTTATGTATTTGTTGTCAAAGCATTTAAGATATTCATTGCTATCGGGATGTTAAGAGCATTCCATGGAATATAACAAGTGTTTCTGAAGTGAATTACCTACCCCACGTACTGTCACATTATATTTAGAACACTTAGTATCTTAGTAAAGATCTTCTCAGAAGTTAAATCAATAAATGAAAACTTGCAAGGAACTTTATAAAATATGAAAATGTGACTGTGTGTTTTTCGTACCGTTTATTGTCGATCTCGGTCTGATGTTTCAGGTTCTCCTGCTCGTACTGTCTGATGTTGTCCACTCCGATCTCAGCACAGAAGTCAGAAAACACCAAGTCCTCCATCTGAGTATTTACACAGTTAAAGTCAAGACAAGCAAACGTTATTCATTGAGCCAAAATCTATCCTTAGACCCTTCAGATAAGAGAAACAGTTTCAAAAGAAACCTCAGGAAGAGTAACAGGAAGGGTGGAGGAGGAAGGGGTTCTGTCCATGGATGTATAATAAGAACTGGATACAGCGTGGGAGGCGGGGCCTCGTTCATTCCTGAGAGTTGCTCATTGGCGCATGAAGACAAAATGGCCCAACTTTTGAGAGAGCGAAACGTCACGAAAGTATTCATATAATCCGTTCTTATTGTGCATCCATGGGTAAAGGTAAAACTCATGTAGTACTGAACACGTCACATGAACGTGCCGGGCGGCGCGGTCCCGTGGGTTGGATGCGCGTTCATAATGCCGAGGAAAATAACTCTCAGAATAACGTTATTAGCACATTTTACAACTTGAGGACCGAATGTTTTTAATAAGGGCTATACAAGTGTTCATACTGGGTAGTTTATTTAGTTAAAAAATGTTAGTCAATGGGAAAAGTGTTTCCGGGCCCAGCGACTGATACGGAAGTGTAGTACCGCCGTTTGGCCACAACGAATATTTTCCTCAGAATCCGGCACACTTCCTGGGGGCTTGGTTCTGTCCCTGGACACAGACATATATTACATGTTGTGTGTACAGAAAGGACTGTAAATAATAAATATATGAGAAAATATTAGGGGTGCACCGAATGGGAAATTCTTGGCCGAAACCGATACCGAAAATGATTAATAGAAATATATATATATATAATGTATACATTTTTTACCAATGTTGTTCAGCTACCTGATTATGGAAATAGACATGATTATGGCAAAACTTAACTTAAATAATAATCACTATTATGGGTCCATACAACATTTATTCAGCACTTTTGAATGCATACAGTACATTTATTTTCTCTGTAGGATAACTACAACAAAGTGCATTCAGAACAAAGCCAAGGGGCTTTAAAACTGCATAAACATCTAGGCCAGTAGGCCTACAACAAAATAGTGTAAATAAAGACTGTAACAGCCAGGCCTTCAACAACAACAAATGCACCTATAAGTGCATGCATACAAATGTGCAAACTGGATAAATCCACATGAATGTAACTATAGTATTTACAAATGAAATTACAATTGAATTTCAAGAATCTGTAAATAAGGCCTCATAAACAAAGTAGTAAACATTGTATAAAGATACATAAAGTGAAAACTGGATACTTTTCAAAAAGGTCCGCCACAGAAGGAGTCGGGGTGCTGGGAAGGACTTTTTTTTCCTGTGCGCTGGTGATTTCATCATACTCCGCATATTTGTCCGGGTGTTTAGATTTCAAGTGGTGGAGTAATCCCGAAGTGCTGAAAGTCTTTGCAGTTACACCCCCTCGAGAAATGTCAGCTGAACACGTTTTGCAAATCGCAATCCGCGCCTCTTTCTCTGATATTGTGAAGTATCTCCAAGCGGCAGACATGTTGGCTGTGAGCCAGCCGCGAGCATGGTCGCCGCGTCTTCATTACGTCATCACAACAACACGTTTAGGTTACCAACGTAAGCCTGTTCTGACATTCGGTGATATTTTTTCGGTGCTAAAACCCTTTCGGCCGAAAGGGCCTTTTTAACCTTTTTCGGCCGATAATTTTCGGTGGCCGAATATTCGGTGCATCCCTAGAAAATATTGATCTGGGAGGACATCCAGCAACATCTTAAGTACATGCAGCTAGTCATTAGATAATGGTTCATACACGATTTAGCATCTAAGTATGCAAATGTAGCACTGGAGAAAAACTAAATAGGTGTTTAAAACCCTTTATGCACTCTGTTGTATATCATTTCTTCTAACCCAAAACCCCTTTGAAGATAAGATAAGACTTTATACATCCCGAAGAAATTGTTGTGCCAGAGTAACACAAATACAATAAACACAGCAGCATAATAGTACAACTGTACACTAATCGTGCAGTAAAAAGAGAAATTAAATATCTACAGGAAACAGGAAACATAGGCGCTCACATAATTAATGTACCAGTATTTTATTAGTGCAAAAAAACGTAGTGGCAGATACGTAATTGCACGTTATCATAGCACATTATTAATAATAATAATAATAGTATTGCACATGTTATATAGCAGCGAGTAGGGTTGCATATCGTTGACTTTTTTACGATACCGATACCACTGAACGACACCGATACTCAACCGATACATATCGTGATACTTTCATGTTGCATAAGGGAAAAATGTAATCATCCTGCAATTACTCCCATGAAGCGCTTTATGATATAGTTAACATGTGAAATTAATATTAAATTCAATTGTGGGACTTTTAGTACTGAACAAACAATGAAAAACACGTTATCTATGAAGAAAACAGATTCTGCAATATCATTTATAACAACCATCAGGCGTGAATAACACCTTGTCAATGGAAAAATAAAATAGCACCAGTATAATCAACATTCAACCTGAGATTTCGACTGACCAGAGAACACATAAAGGATCATGAGATCTCGGCATTGCACATAAAACAAATAACATCATTAAAATCAACATTTGCCTGATGAAAGAAAACAAATCCCATCACAGTTCAGTTTTGTGCATCTGCTCTCTCTGGATCCAAACGGGCGCTTTCACCGCGTAGGATATCACCTGCTGAACTGAACACTCTCTCGCTTGGCACGCTGCTTCCCTGAACACAAAGGGACTTGGTTGCCATACGAGACAGCATTGGTTGGAGGTTGGATGTGTTGCCGCCTTTTCCAGAAATAAACTTCTTGCAGTGGTTACAGACCTCACCATCAGACTGGCAGTGGTTACAGACCTCACCATTCAGACTGGCAGTGGTTACAGACCCACCATTCAGACTGGCAGTGGTTACAGACCTCACCATTCAGACTGGCAGTGGTTACAGACCCCACCATGCAGACTGGCAGTGGTTACAGACCTCACCATTCAGACTGGCAGTGGTTACAGACCTCACCATTGAGACTGGCAGTGGTTACAGACCCCACCATTCAGACTGGCAGTGGTTACAGACCTCACCATTCAAACTGACAGTGGTTACAGACCCCACCATTCAGACTGGCAGTGGTTACAGACCCCACCATGCAGACTGGCAGTGGTTACAGACCTCACCATTGAGACTGGCAGTGGTTACAGACCCCACCATTCAGACTGGCAGTGGTTACAGACCTCACCATTCAGACTGGCAGTGGTTACAGACCCCACCATGCAGATTGGCAGTGGTTACAGACCCCACCATTCAGACTGGCAGCGGTTACAGACCTCACCATTCAGACTGGCAGTGGTTACAGACCTCACCATTCAGACTGGCAGTGGTTACAGACCTCACCATTCAGACTGGCAGTGGTTACAGACCTCACCATCAGACTGGCAGTGGTTACAGACCCCACCATTCAGACTGGCAGTGGTTACAGACCTCACCATTCAGACTGGCAGTGGTTACAGACCCCACCATTCAGACTGGCAGTGGCTACAGACCTCACCATTGAGACTGGCAGTGGTTACAGACCCCACCATTCAGACTGGCAGTGGTTTACAGACCCCACCATTCATGATTGGCAGTGGTTACAGACCCCACCATTCAGACTGGCAGCGGTTACAGACCTCCACCATTGAGACTGGCAGTGGTTACAGACCTCACCATTCAGACTGGCAGTGGTTACAGACCTCACCATTCAGACTGGCAGTGGTTACAGACCTCACCATCAGACTGGCAGTGGTTACAGACCCCACCATTCAGACTGGCAGTGGTTACAGACCTCACCATTCAGACTGGTAGTGGTTACAGACCCCACCATTCAGACTGGCAGTGGTTACAGACCTCACCATTCAGACTAACAGTGGATACAGACCCCACCATTCAGACTGGCAGTGGTTACAGACCCCACCATTCAGATTGGCAGTGGTTACAGACCCCACCATTCAGACTGGCAGTGGTTACAGACCTCACCATTCAGATTGGCAGTGGTTACAGACCCCACCATTCAGACTGGCAGTGGTTACAGACCCCACCATTCAGACTGGCAGTGGTTACAGACCTCACCATTCAGACTGGCAGTGGTTACAGACCCCACCGTTCAGACTGGCAGTGGTTACAGACCTCACCATTCAGACTGGCAGTGGTTACAGACCTCACCATTCAGACTGGCAGTGGTTACAGACCCCACCATTCAGATTGGCAGTGGTTACAGACCCCACCATTCAGACTGGCAGTGGTTACAGACCCCACCATGCAGACTGGCAGTGGTTACAGACCCCACCATTGAGACTGGCAGTGGTTACAGACCCCACCATTCAGACTGGCAGTGGTTACAGACCCCACCATTGAGACTGACAGTGGTTACAGACCCCACCATGCAGACTGGCAGTGGTTACAGACCTCACCATTCAGACTGGCAGTGGTTAGACCTCACCATTGAGACTGGCAGTGGTTACAGACCCCACCATGCAGACTGGCAGTCGTTACAGACCCCACCATTCAGACTGGCAGTCATATGCAGCCACAATTTAGATTTTCAGAAGTGACTCGATTGCGGAGTTTCACGGCGAAATTGACATCGTAATTCCGACGGTTTGGGTGCGAGTTTAAGGATATTACGCCTCACTTTTATATAAAAATAAATAAAGTATCGAAAACCGGATCTGATTTCGGTTAGGTATACCGTGAGTGTTTTGTAATGATGGTAATGATATTTATATTGCAATTAATTTAACTTAAGCGGTGGAGACACCAACCTGATTCTATTTAGCTTAATTTAACATTTAACCAATTTAGTAGTGGCATGAACTCACTGGCAGCGTCAGCATAATGAACACAGACAACAGACAAGTTGGAGAAGATGCTTAGTCAGCCGTACCTGGTCGACCCGCTCTCTGATCTTCCCCTTCTCTGCGTCCTTTGTCTCCACGCTCTCCTGCTGCATTTGGATCTGACAGTCCAGGTTTGTTAACTCACTCTCCATACGAGAAATCTCCTGAGAACAACCAGCAGGAGATGATAAGACAAAAATACTGTTGACGATCTTCGCTCCTGTGTCACCCTTATACAAAACATTCTTGTAAAACCATTATGATTTTAAGCGATGGGATAAAAGGGGGCTCTAATTGACATGTACACATAGAGTAGGGTCATGGCACAGTACAATCACATTATGGTATTACATTTGAGAAGACCAGAGTTCAGAGACCCTACCGCTTGGCATTTAAGGATGTCTTTCTTCCTAATGATATCCAGGTCAGTTTTGGCGTATTTGAGGCGAGTCTGAACGCCCTGAGCCTGAGCAACGACCTCCTTCAGGTCTGAGTCCTTCCGCTTCAGCTTCATCAAATCCTGTCACAGGATAAAAACACAGAGTGAAGGTTAATAACAATTTAATAATAGAAGTAATTAACTACTCCCTCGAGTTTCATGGCATGATTTTCCATCATATTTGCCACTTTGTGTGTGTACTAGGGATGTAACGATATACCGAATATCGCGGTAAATAAACGTCCCAATACCGTCGTGAGACTGACAAAATCTACGGCGATTATTTTTAAATATTTTTTTTTAAGCCTTTATTTAACCAGATGGTCCCATTGAGATCATCGATCTCTTTTTCAAGAGAGACCTGTCCAACAAGGCAGCAAGTAGGTTACAACATGAACATAAAACAACAGAACACAAAAGGACATCGTATTTACAGGGCTACATTTACATACCTAGAGACATTGACAAGTACCAACAGTATATTTATATCTCGCCCTGTCAATAAGCCTCACCTTCTTGGCAAAAACTGTATTGTTTTTGAAGTGGTGGAGAGACAATGCAGTTTTACCCACTGCTGTCACCCATGGCCAAAGCATATCTCTCCTCATCCCACTGAGGTGGCGTTAGACTTTTTCGCTGTCCGTCATTTTGACAGACAGGATCGTAAAATGTCCGTCATAATCCCTTATTACCCGTCAGGTCTGAACAGTTCACAAGAGAGCACGCTCGTGAACTGTCAATGGGGGGGGGGCGGTGTTATGCAAACAGCGTAAAGCAAAACCTCCCAGACATGTGTTGATCTGTACGGCAAAGTACGGTTTGGAAACTATATCATTTACTTTTAGAGGGCATGCATAACACGGCATAACACCAGAGCCTCGCTGCGGGGAAACGTTGGCGCTGTTCCGAGTTTGTTCTAATCTGTCAAAATGACAGACTGCTTTCAGATTTTTCCGTCATTGATAAATAAAATATTCGGTTAACGCGGACCACTGCTGTCTCAGCAACATCAGTACCAAGCGAGAGAGTTTTTTTCCAGAGCAGGGGATATTGTAAATGCCCCAAACATCCCAGCTTATAAATACCTGGAAATGTGGACATTCTCATATTCCTAAAAACCTGTCTGATGATGCTGAGTGAGTGACTAGTGAGTTTTGAGCTGAGTTACTTGAAAAACTAAAGTGAAACTTGATTTATTTTATTGCAGGGTCTGATTATTAAATGTCCTTGTTATTTGTGAGATGCAGTGGCACAAAGAAAATGCCCTACTTTGTTTGGGTACTAGTAGGTACAAAAACCACTGGTTTTCTTTGTTCCAGTCTGTTACTGTCACTTTGTTTTTGACACTTTAAAATACTGCTATCCTACTAAAATGCTGTACAAATCAGATTTATTATGTAATAAAGAAACATTTTCAGAGTAAAAAAAAAGTTTATTGAAAAAAAAAAAATTGAATGTTTTTTTTTTTTCTTTTATTATTCAATATCGCGATAAATACCGTACCGTGGACTTGTTATCGCGATATTATCGTACCATGAGTTTTTAGTATCGTTACATCCCTAGTGTGTACTCACGCGCATCTCTGCTGTCAGCTGGTCCTTGCGTTCCTTCAGCCGCAGCATGTCCTTCTCGTCCCAGCCACGAGCTTTGGCCCGCAGGTCGCTGGAGCCTCCAGAGATCATGCCTGATTTTGAAAACAGCGTCCCGTCCAGAGAGACTGTCTGCAGGAAACACATCTGATTACACGTCTGCTGGCCTTATATGTTACCCAGTAAGCAGTGACTTGTTTGCTGTCAATAGAACCGTTGCTTTACTTTGCAAGGTTGCCATGAATTGGGCTAATTCAGAAGAAAACAACAACAAACTGATTTGGAGGAGATGGCTTTTGTGGATCAGGAAGTAAAACATAATAGACAGATTGCTCTAGTAGATTTGTGACTTCATAATCTTAGAGAATATCCAAGTGTTTTTCTTATTATTAGAGATGCTCCGATCGATATCGGCCGATACTCACTCTCTGCCGATCGATCGGTGCTCTCAAAAAAGGCCGATCGCGAGAGCCGATCGCATGACGTAAAATACATGACGCTTTTCAGTGTGCGGCAAAACAAACTCGCCAAATGGCTTCACCGGTCTGGCTGTATTTTAAGGTGTCCGAAAATGACAGTAAAATAGCGGTATGCAACGTGTGTGAAGCAGAAATCCTGCAGCTCCGCCCACTGTGACGGACCAGTGAGAGTTAGACCTAACACACTTAGCTATTTTATCTACCTCTGGAACAAGCTAAACTAGTTATACATATATTTATTCTTCACTCTCGGGTCACTCATTACTGGATCAGTGAGCTGCATGAGACGATACTGACAGGCTGTCAGGAGAGAGAGGGA